GTATTTTCCCTGTTATCTCAGGTCTTGATATTTGTGTCGAGGAAAGTGAATAAGTGCTACCTGTGAATTGGTGCCAGAATGGTCGACCTGTGTGCGCAACTGGGCCAAAATCAGGTTACAGACTGACGTGAATCTTGCGTAAACTGGCAGAGTCCACTGGTGGCCTGTCCATACAAGGTAAAATAAGCATTTGGCTGATTCAATCAACAGTAAGAGCAAGAAGATAAATCAGGAAGATGGAGATTTTTTTTTCCCCAAGAGGAGAAACATCTGCTCTAATCAAGAAAGACAAACAACTTTCCAACACGCAACTCAGTGATAATTTATTAGCTTCATTTAATCTGTCTAAGTGTTGAAGTCAGATATTAGTGTGTGTCTGTGAACTTGTTTTTATGTCCTAGTGGGGACTTTATACTGAGTATGACTAAAATTAGGTGCTGCTTTTGAGGGTAGAAGAAAAGGTTTCAGGTTACAATTACGTTTAAGATAAGGGTTAAGGTTAGGCATTTGGTCAAGGTTAGTGTTTGTGTGTGTGTCATTAAGTAAATGACTAGGCTGCTTTGAAACTTGATAGAAAGTGTTAAGAACTACTAATGCAGTTGGAACAGTTTATATCCGATGATATTTCCAATTGGTTGTGTTTTATGAGCTGTTTTATGGCTTGGAACTTGGTCCAAACCCCAGTAAAAAGTTGGTATTAGTTCCTAAATCGGATTTTCTTATTTCAGTATTAAGAAAACCTTTGGTGAGTCTCATAACAGTTCACAATAGGTTTGGGTTTTTGCACAAATAAAGATAAGAAATGAAATCTGTGTATAAGAAAAGGCCTGTTTGTTCTGGAATATGCAAATCTCTTACGTCACGCATTAAAGGCTGGTTAGTCAAATAACCAAGCCCCTGAAGCCGTTACAGGAATAAAACTTAAATATGTAGATATAGTATTTCATCAGAAAGCTTAAAAGCAGTTACAATGCTGTTTTATATTCCTAGCTTTACCACATCCAGGCTGTTCTGTATTGAGCTGGAAATGAGCCATACTCTTAAACATGCACACGCGTGCCACGGCCTTGGACAGGTTTTGTTCTTGTTGTTTCAACTGCTTCAGCCAAGAATTAATAAATAAACTTGATTTTGGATTTCATCCCCTTGCGCCTTGCTAGTGGATATTCAAATTAGCATGTTCCTTTTTCAGGCCTGGGTTCTATTATCCATGCTGATGGGGTTCTTTATAGCTGTCAGGGGGGTAGTATATGAAAGAGCGGCTCGTTTTAATACAAGAATGTAGCCTCGTGGAATGCAAGGAATTCTGTCATTTATTTTCATCTGTGGCTGAAAATTAGAACTCGGAGTACTCAGCGCATGTGATTTCAATTAGACGACCTGTAAAGACCCAAAGAGACGTAACGGTCAGACAGACATGGTGTTCTGCTAGCACCAGTCTCCATGCAGCGTCTGGACACCCGCCTCAGGTGAACAAAGGGGAAACATATCACCAGCTCCTTTCTATTTAATATACCACACATTTACTTGAGAGCCTGAATCCTGAGCTGCTCTCTGAGGTCTAGTTGTTGACAGCAGGCTTGAGGCACTCAGCGGACGGCCACTGAAGACCTCATATCATTATCATGATGTGTAGCACTTCATTCTGCTGTTTGGTGAAGCAGTTGTGCATGGTATCTGACCTGAGTCATAGATTTTTGAAATGCATTGAATGGTATAACTGATTTCATGCTACTTTTTTTTTTCAACATTGAGAATATAATACAGTTTTAGGATGGCTTAATCGCAAAACATATTTGGGACTTGACTAGTAGTAGAAGTAAATGTGACTACCCCCCCTTACTGGTAACATAATGTTAGCAAGTCTTCACTAGTATTGGCAAGAGAAGGTTTATTCCTCTTCTGTGGCAATAAAATAACACATTCCTGCAGATTACAGTGCTGTATGCAGAACTCTAATCGAAACTGGCGAACAGAACTTACCCACTATAAACAGCTGGGCTACAACTACGTCCTGGCACTTCCGAAAAACATACGCTCTCATATGCAGCTGGAAGGCATATTTCTACAACATGGGTAACAACACATAAACTTTTGCAAAGCATTGCTGGGCTCCTGGTCTATCCTTTAATTCATTACAAAAAACAAATCTTTTTATTTGTGTGTTTATCCATAGTAGTTAAACAAATTCCAAGAAAATGGGCCACATGTATTCAATTTCTGTTCTCCCTCTCTTGATAGGAGACCATTTTCTGTTGGGTGATGAATAAAAAGTGTGTCCTAACCTTTAAAGAGTGACTTAGAGTTTAAAATAACGTCAAGATGAAGTCATTGGGTCAGACAACACAGTGTGACAAAGTGGATATTGTGAAACAGACCTTAAAATACTGTTTTTGGCATGTTAAATGAGGGGAATTTTTCTTTAATTAGATAAAAAATTCCATTTGTTAGTTTGCTAGATAGTTAATAATAGTGTTCAAGTCATATATCAACTCCCTAAATACATATTGTGTTGTCTTTGCACACGTGTTGACATGAATTATTACATCCAATTTAGGTTTCAGAGTTTTGCAAGACCCGTGGGGTCTTGTGGGAAATCTGCGAGGGAGTTGTTTTATTGGTTACTCATTCGGTGTTCAACCTCACGTGTCTGTGTGGTTTATTGTGAAGTTCACTACACCTGCTATAGATCACTATCCAGCTCTGCAGCACTAACTACATACTGTAACCAGATTCTTTTATTACAGCTAATATGGCCATAAATATTCCTGAATTATGGCAATATAGAACAACTACTAGACATATGTTTTAAATAGCTACATATAAGCATACATTTAAACAGTAATAAAACACAAACATTATGATCCAACAATTGTATTTTATTAAAGGCATGACTGAACTCTTGCAACTCTCTGCAACTTTATGAGTTGAACCTTGCCTATAGGCTAAAATAATGAAATAAAAGTAAGTGCCCTGCTTCAGTGTAAGGGCACTTTCACATTGGCGCTATTTGTTTTCGGGCAATACCACCCCAAATGAGCAGCTGTTGTAACTGCGTGACGTTGTTCAGGAGGTTTGGTGTGAAAGCGAACCGGACCATATGAAGGTGTGACATTTTTCGGCATTCCCCCACCCAATCGAACCGAGTCCCCCGGACTATCCTTGTGTGAATGCGCCTCAAGTCTTTATGCATTACAAGCCCATCATATTTTGGTCCAAATATTGTTGGTTTAATTCTTTTTTTCTTTTCTTATAACTTCATAGAACATAAGTTCAATTCAGCCCCTTGGCACGACTTGCATTTCTTAAAGGAGAAGTTTGTTTTTTTCAACCTGGTAAGTATGTAGATCTACTCACCCATAAAGGTTTGGAGTAACTTGGACTCCTTCGAACGCTTTTAGATCCACACGCGATGGGCGTATATCCATACAACGCAAGTGATTGAGGCATTTGCTGCTGCTAGTTTTGCGCAACATGGCAGAATACTTATCAGGTGCTTTACAGTACAGTATTTTTTTAAAGCAGCTGTGTCCTGGTGCTTGGGCGTATTCCCCCGGTTTGTTGATTAAACAGGAAGACAACTCGCTCTCGGTTCGCTAAGCTAACGCTAGCTCCGAGGCTGCTTGGTAGCCCGCTGAAGTTAGCTAGCCTTTAACTTTAACAAGCAGATGAAGAAGGGTCCATCACTCTCAAAAGCATCAATGAGTTCTTTGATTTCGTCGTGCTAATATGCAGAGTTAAGTCAGATGACCACACACTCGGTAAATCTCATAACAGTGGAGGCAAAAACAAATTTCATTTTGTATTTATGTTGTCTCAGCAACCTGTTTTAGATCATTCAATAACAGACAATTTCATATGCTGTTAATAAATGTATTTATTTCTTTGGCACATTCAGACATTTTGGCCCTTGCATAATACTGGCATATATGCCAATTATTGTAAACTCTGACTCTAAGTGTTTCTACGACTTTGTGTGGCACACTACATTACATACTGCTCAGGCGGCAGCTGGGTTTTGTGATTATACTGTAAAGAATTCATATTTTGCCCCTTGTGTTTCTTGTTTGGACTTTGTCTCCTCCCCAGTATTTCCTGGTCACAGCATTATCTGACATCTAAAAAAATGAATGGTCCTCTCACTGTGATCTGCTTTGCGTTAGAGGTTTAAGTTCATATCTCACACTTTAGACCTCATTCCTCCTGAAACATCTTGACCTAATCAGTCCCCACCAGCAGGTTTTTTTGTCATTACTGTGGCCGAAATTTAATCTTCATAGGCTTTTTCAGTTTTCTTTAAAAAAAATTGCAGCAATGCGTTTAGAAATGTTTTAGGTGTTCTGGCATTTGCTAACCATACTTCGCCACAGTGGTAAAGAAAAACATAATATAATTTCATTAATTTTTGAATTAAGTCAAAATCTCTGTATTGTGAAGTCAACAGTGCACATTCCTGGAGTGGCTGGTTTTATCCAACCTGGTGATGAAGTCATTCATTACTTTATCTAATTCACTAAGGCATATAGATATGTTTTCTTAATCTCTCTGGTTGTTTTTTGGAAATGACAGAATCACATCTAATCTTTTTTGCTTGGTCAACAAATTTAGGTCACTTTTTTTAATTCCTCTTTACAAGCAATATGGTTTTCTCTGACTCAGGCTTACTGAAATCAACTTAACTTTACCAACTTCTTAAAAAATGTATGAATAACTTTTGCTTACTTAAGGGAACAGAAATAAAATCTGGTAAATCAATTTGACTTTAAAAATCAAGTGTAATTAAGTGTGAAGTATGAAAATCAGGGAATCTGTTCATTACTGTCAACTATGCCAAGGTTTATCAGACCAAAAAATAAATATAAATCAGTAACATAAACTCTGAACTGCAAGCCGTTGGAAAACGGTGTGGATTGGGTTGTTGTCCAGCCCTATACGAGAGATGCCATGCTGCTGTCCTCTTCTTCCAATGCACTGACAGATCTCCATCTTTTTATCTGAAGGTTCAGGAGAAGGATGTGGGAAGATCATTCAGCGATTCCCCAAGAAGGACTGGGAGGGAACAGCCTTTCCTCAGGGGGTGGAGATGGTGAGTGTACACAGCCTCCAGTAAACTCAACATTACTCAGACTGAACAGAGCGAAATTATCTGAAGATCTCAGGTTCAAGAGAATGACGATTGAGATGTGGTTGTAAATGTATTTCTTATTATTATTTACTACACACTGACTTTATTACAGTGCTGCAGCTTTTTTCCATAGAGAAATACAAATATTGATACTTTCTCTCAAATAATCAGGGATTGATTCATTACAAAGAGGAAATGAATCAATCTATAAAATGTAACTGTGACTTTATTTGGACACTGCACTTCTGTGTGTCTTGATTCTCTATTCTCATATACCACAGTGCAAATATTAAATAGAGAAAAACAGATCACCTCCCTTCCCCTGTCCATGGTTTGATGACCAGCAGGAATCAGTTATGAATCTCTCTTTATAATTGATAGACCGGTGTCTGAATAGTTGCATCATTATTATGACTGAGACCTTTGCTATGAGTGCAGACCAATATCACAGTTTCATAGATCATAACACGAGAGCAGCATATCTGGAGCTGTTGTAAGTTAATGGGTGATGTTCGCAGGTTGTACTGTGTTTGTCTAGTTAGTGATTGTCCTTGTTCTTGTGCCCTTTACCCTCTACCTGACATGAGCGTTAAACATGTGTCTGTTTGTGCGAAATACAATACAGTAATAAAACAGTAAATATTTGTCTAGAGTATGTTCTGGGTCACAAAATGACACTCCAAGAAACTTTGGAAACTGTTTGCTGCAGAAGTTGGCATTTCCTGTTTAAGATAAATTCATAATGATTGTTTACTTGAGAGTTTATTCTAAACCCTATCGGAGTTCACTAATTTGGAAACCTCATCTCTATGAATTTTTACATAGTGTTTTGTATCTGGTTCCCTAGTTTCCCTCCGTTTTTATCGTCCTCGTCAGGAAAATGAAGGGAATAGTTTCTCCTCTCACTTTGTTCCCTCCCTCTCTACTGGGCCAGTCTAAGGGGTCTGCGACAGGGGGTTTGTTCTCCTTATATGGAGAATGCACTGGACAAATATCTGAGCTGTCGATCTCTGGGGTGACAGTGGCGGTAACCAGTATCATAGTGCACAGGACACTACAACCGTGTTATATCTATATTTGTTCATTTATATTGGCTACAGCAGATAACGACCAAGCAGAAAGGTTTTGGCAGAGAATATATATTTGCTTTTTGGTCAAACGACGATTCATGTTCAAACCTTAGGTCAGTACATCTTGTTTGTTTTCTTAACTAAAGAATTGAATAAAAAGCCTTTATTGTCATTGTACAATAAAAATTAGAGGTGCTGCTTCTGAAAATGGTACACATTTATTAAAAAACTAGTTTAAAATTCAAAGTTAGATAAACATGGGAGGATGACAGACTTTAAGATAAAAGAGTGGTTAAGTATTATTTAGTTATTAGTTGGAGTGAATATTGCACATAAAGGTTTGTGATGTATATATCAATATACTGCATCATATTTATGAATTTAGAGTTCTGATGGCCTACTGAAAGGAACTGTTCTTGAGACAATTTTTTTGATTTTTTATGCTCCTGACTTAAAACTGCTATAAATAACAATTGCATTTATTTGTCAATAGTGTTTAATAACGACATTGACAGGTTTTTATATATCAGAAGGTAGGTATCAGAATATTTTACTCTAATATCGGTAATGACCTCTGCTCTCGGTCGGGCTCTAGTTTTAAATAACAGAATCCATAGCTGAATACAATCTGACATGTTGTGCTGAAATACATGTTTTCTTCTTTGGAATTGAAAGTACATTTTGTTCTGGTGGTCGTCATGAGGCTCAGAGGTCTTGAAGACAAAGTATATCATTTAAGACTTCAGTGAGAGCAGCGCAGCAGGTGTTGAGGCCTACAAGTTGCATAATGTGGGTCAAATATCTCAGCTAAGATGAAGAGAGAGGGTTATACTAAACAACACATTCCTCCACATCCCATGTTTAGATTAAGTTTTTTTTTTTGGCACTGGGAGAGGATCCTTTGCAAAAAGACAAATATAATCTACTTTTTTGTAAGGAATTTGCAGATTAAAAGTTTAACAATAACCATTGGTTGGAAATAAATATTTTTAGATGAGAATTAACTTTTGTTTGCCTTGTAAAGATTGATAAACAATGGCCAAGAGTGTTATAGCTGCAGCTGAAACCTTTGGCTCAGTGCAGAAGTGTCAAAGAGATAGTGTTTTTAACCCAGACTTGTGTTTATGCTGTGGTATTTTTAAGGCAATCGAGGAGGAGTGAGCACAAATAGACTCATTGTAGTGAGCGGTTTGAATAGCATGCAAGCGTCTTCCTGTTGGTGGCCGCCAAGAGTGTCTTATGAGTCAAACAGTGATGTGTCAAATAGCAAAGCATAGTCACTCCAATTGGTCCATGTGACTCATAAAACTATTAAAAAATGTAAAGAATGAAAATCTGCCACATCCAGAAGTTGAATTTCTGTCGATGAGGTCTAATGACACTGGTATTTAACCTTGCAGTGACACTGCATGATGAAGTATCCTGTCGTGATTTCATTGCGTTTAAATATAGAAACACTGCCACAAGTTTAGCTAAATCTATTATCCTAGTGTTTCCAGATGTCATCAGGACCTGCATACCATTTCTTGTGTGTGTGCTGAAGTGTTCCCTCCAATGCATCTTCATTATATGTCAGCCTAGACTGAAATTGAGACATACTGCGATCCCCAGCGTGTTAATAAGGATAAGGCATGATGTTTTTCATCGAAGTCATTCAGAACCAAGGATGCATTCAATGCAAGGGCTATTTGGCAAATACCCAGCATGCTTGCTGAAATTTACACACAATATGTTATTTTGAGCTACAACCATAAGTACAAGAAGTGTTGAATAACACACAGAACAAGATTCATATATGAAACAACACTCAGTGGGGTCAGAAAGAACAGGAAGAGAGGGGTTTGTTCCAAAAATGTGCTTTCCTAGAATGTGGTGTGTGACAAACTAAAGAGCCGAATGACTGAAATTCCAACTTTGAAGCTTTAATGAAGATACACCATAGTGTTTAACAGACCCACTAAGCAATTTGCATTTTGGCTCTGTTTGGGGCTGGTATGTAAACCATTATTATTTGCAGATTTTCTCGACTCCATGAAAAAGAAAATGAGTCATTTACAAACACTAAGGAGCACATCTGTAGAAAACAGTGGATGAAGCTGAGCACGAAAAGCATTTTGCGGTCACAACAGGCCCCCAGCAAACTAAATAACCACAGATGAGGAATGCACCAAGAAAAAGCATTTACAAGTTGTGCGCGGAAAAATGTGTTTCTCATCTTTTCAGGCAAGTGATGATGATAGGAACCAGCTCAGATTCTCATCTGTTATGGATGAGCTGGGTCTGTGGATGGAGGTCAGCAAGTTGCGCACCTAGTACATTTCCACAGCCTTTGCCCTCCAGTATCAAGACACAGTCCTCGTGGTATACTGTAAACGGACAGGCATCATCATCATCAGCCTGCGTGAGCGAATCCTCTGGAAACGTAAGGACCCATGCTGATTTGTTTGGGAGTGAAGTCGGCATTATGTCGCCCCAGTGTGTGATTTCAGGTAGCATGCTGTTGTTTTATAGGCATGACATGAAACACAACGGCGTCTGCCCCACCACGCCGGCTTTCCTCTTTACACAGATGTCCATGTGGCCGTGTGGCTACTTCCAGTTCTGGCTTAACAGGGAAACTACAGTGCCCTCCAAGCCAGTGTTGGTAACCTTCACACAGAACAGCAATGGTGTAACCTTTATACCTTGAACCAGCTTTGTAATGCTGGACTCACACGTACATGTTGCATCAGTGCTGGACCATGGCTGACAATCTACATAGCTAACATGCCACGGTAGCTATCAATTCAATGCTAAAGAGAAAGAAATCCACAACCATTCACCAGCTGCCTCTGCCTCCTCTTTCGCTTTATTATGATTGGCTGTCGGCTGCGTATTAGTTTAAACATGATTTTGGTGCCTCCGTTGCTGCATGAAAAGTTGGCGTCTTCTCAACGTGTGCTGTGCTCAATGAGATGCTATGCAACGTAAACACCATACTGTTCTGCAACACAACGTTACCACATTCAAAGTGAATGAGCTGCATTTTAGTTGAAACCTCCAAATATACCTGTGATTCCTGGAAAGGAGGCGAAAAAAAATGGCTGCACACAATGAAGACGAATAGTTGGTTTAAATAACTGGTGCTCAGTACTCAAGTTTAAAAAGTCGGACAACAACAGAAAAACACGATCTGTATATTATGTTGTAAGATAGTAGTTGTACGAGTGTTTTTAAGAAAAACAAATATATACCATGATATATACTGTTATATAAAGTTGCTGTTGAAGTTGAAGGGGCGGCAGTAGCTCAGTCCATAGAGATACTCAAAGCCAAGGCTTCGGAACCAGAGGGTGGCCGGTTCAAGTCCAGCATGGACCAAAGTATGGAAGGTGGACTGGTAGCCGAAGAGGTGCCAGTTCACCTCGAGGGCACTGCCAAGGTGCCCTTGAGCAAGGCACCAATTGCTCTCAGGGCACTCCTCCGGGGCTGCCCATCACTCCACCATCTCTCTCCACATTGTGTGTGTGCGTGTGTGTGTGTGTGCGTGTGTGTGCATTGTATTGTCAGTGCCGAGTCTGCGTTTGTTTTATACAGTTTGAGTATCAAGCATAGTCCCGAAAAAAAAGAAGAAAAACATTCTTTGTGGGGAGTTTTTATTGGAGAGTGACCATCTATTTTTGTTGACCATATTTAGTTATTTATATTTACCACCAGAGAGTTTAGAGTTGGATGTGACACAAATGTGGGGAATTACTGTGGTGTTCACTGTTTATATTCTGAGTTTACTCATTTAATTACAAGCACCATTTGTTTAATGGCTGGATTATGAGAATGTAAATAACATCCAGTCAGAATGCCTTAGTCAAATGTAGAATTGACTAAAGCATTTTGGGGGAATTTCCTCTGTTG